GAGCCTTGCATTGGATAATTACTGCAGTGATTCATATGTTTAATCAACAAATGAGGTCAACTGCCTACCTGAATGTACTGAATGACCAGGTTTTTCCATCAATGGATTTTTTCTTCCCTGATGGCGCAGGCATATTAAAAGATAAGAATGCCAGGATTAATGGGGCTCAAATTGTGAAAGAGTCGTTGAGGGAGCATGATATGATAATGATAATCATTTTCACACATGGATTGGCCCCCACAGAGTCCAGATCTTAACCCATTTGAAAAACATTGGGATATGCAGGAGAAAAATGAAAATGTTATGCAGCGATCCAACTCTCCCATCATCACTACAAGATCCTGGTGAAAAATTAATGCAACTCTGGACGGAAATAAATGTTGTGACAAGCTTATCGAAATGATGCCATGGCAAATGTGTGCCGTAATCATAGCTAAAGGCAGTCCAACAAATTCTTAGAGCGTTTTTTTTGGCCAGGCAGTTCATAAAACAATATTAGTGGTCTGCTAGGATGCTATAGGCAAGGTCCGATCTCACCAGATGTACAATGGCCTAACCTGTGTGAATAGCAGGTCATTGTAGGCTAACCTAGGAGATGATAACAAATGGTTCTGATCATAGATACAGCATGCAATGGCACACAGAGATTTTCTGACTAATTTAAAGAGCAATCATGCAACGGCAGCTTCCCCCCGATGCTGCTCCCACAATGTGCACTCAGATGTGTGTATGTGGATGCGTGGATGTAGAGTTCCTCCCATTGGCTTGTAGAGAATGATGGCCAGCCCACAGCAGACACATCGACCTGGCAAGGATAATCAAACGCGCTGCATGCAGGCTGCTCAGTCCATCAGTAGGAACACCGAACAAGTTATCTACTTTTAATTAGGGAGCACAGGGCTGCCTGTTGCCAGTTTAAATGTATATAATGTTTTTAGCTTCTAGTAATATAATTACATAGGGTCATAGCCCAGATTTCTATTCATAAAAGCTCCCTTTTAGATATTTGTGCAAATCCTACCTAACAATTATAGAGGCTTTATAGGAAAACAGCAAGTACAATAAAGGTGCCTACAGACATCTGCCAGACATTTTTTTGTTTAAACTCCACTCACATGACTGCTCTTGCCAATCTCAGGAAAAAACTAAATTGATCATCCAGAAAAACCCAACCCAGCCGCTTGACTGTAAAAAAGCTTTGGAAGGGACGTCTGGTAGGGTTAGGAAGGACTAAAAGACCTTTTATTAATTAATAATATAACCATTGGTATTGGTGCCAATATTGGGCATTTTCATGAGTACGAGTATGCCCTGATGCTAAGCGCCAATACCAGCACTTTAAATTTGTTAATGGATTCGGCTGCCATACGGTCCCACACTTGCCATCGAGAGATCTGCCACCCGCACTGCCATGGGGAGACCTGCCACCAGCACAGCCCTGGGGATAATTGCCGACTGCACCCACCTGAACAGCCCTGGTGAGACACTGCATACTGGTGAGACATTGCATACTGGTGAGACCACGCAATGCTGGTGAGACTGCGCACACAGCCCTGGTGAGACTGTGCACGCAGCCCGGGTGAGAACCTGCACTTCCTCCTGAGATGGCGGCATAGCACTAGTGAGCAACACAGAATATGTAGCTTCATATTATTCTGCATTGCTGTATAATGTATTGCTGGGATTTGTAGTCCTCTATAGCTGCTGGTATTCTGCATTGCTGTATAATGGATTGCTGAGATTTGTAGTCCCTCTACAGCCTGGAGTCAGTGGCAGAACTACAATGGGTGCAGCTGCAACTGAGCCCTGGCACTTCACAACTGTCCTAAAATTATTAGCCTGTATTGTTTTATGGAACAAAAAAAAGGTATCAGTAACTTGTATCGGCGAGTACTTGGGGAAAAATATCGGTACTTGGTCTTGAAAAAAATGGTATCGGTGCATCCCTTGCTATATCTGTAGGAAACTTAAACTAACTGTAAACTCGATCACTAATAAGCTTTAAAGCTAAACTCCAGGCCCAGCCCCCATTATCAGTGGGTTACTCTAACAAAGAAAAAACTAATCTAAAAGCCCCTTTTTACTACATACATGTGTAGTCACACATCTTGCCAGGTCCCACGACTTCCTCCCTGCAAAGGTGCAAGGTCTGAGTGATGTGAACAAATACCATTGTCTGTGCAGTGGGAGGGTCCTCTCAGCATATAGAAGACTACCACACTGTGATGACATAATAAAGAGTTGAACAGTTGTCATGGGCCTAGACTGCATAGCTGGATCCATGGTTGATCGTCTGTTTGGAACTCTGATGGCAGACTTGGGTGAGTATAAAAAAGGATTCAGAAGGTATTATTTTAATAACTGATCAATGGGTGAGAGGAAGAAATGAAAGGTGGGAGATCTTTGCTTAGGGATGACATTTATCAAATTAATGCAATTGTAATATTTTTACACTGGTAGCTTTCAGTAAAATAATACCGGGTGATCATGATTTTCTGATGGATACAAGTGACCATTTCAACCCACTTCAATCAGACATGGTCCACTGTTGTCCTTATCAGGAAGCCCACCCTAGAAATTGCTTTGTGTCTTCTCTGGAGTGCATTCTTTTAGACAAGCAGTGGCTGCAAAGAGCTGGAAGAGATCAGCAGAACCGAGATGCAACAAAGGGTTAAAAAAATGGCACTTATTTATTATACACAGTGCTTTAGCAAACTATATGCCATTCAGTTCGGGTTTACATTTCCTTTAATGGCACCGATTGTCATCTTTGCAGATGGCGCTGTAGTAGGACTTATGTATTTTATTAATAATTACATATATTAATTTAAGCATGAAATAAGATGGTGTAAGTACATTCTTATTTTAATAGAAATACAAATGTTTTTCTAGACCTGAAGTCGAGAAGTTTAACGTTTTTTTCAATACCATCTGCGCCACATTAAGAGATCTTGTCTAAACACGTGCCACATATTACATGCAGGCTGCATATCTGATCTGGCAACAATTGCTGACACAAAACATGGAAAAGGAAGTGAGAAGGCCAACCGCTGAATACTTTGGGCAGCCCATTAAAATATTTGTCTGCTAAATACAAGCATGCTGTTACAGATTGGAGTACAAAGAGATGTCAGACAATACGGGATACAAACATAAAACACATTGTATAATTAGGTTTAAAGAATTCATTCACAAAGTTACTAGTGTATTCTGAAATGTACAATATTCTTATCTATTGTTTATAGGGGTTTGTTTCACAAAGAAATGTTTTTTCTTATTATTTCAGTGTACTCATTCATGACTGTGTTGTAATTCCCAGCCAACCAATCAGATCTGATATCTTATTCCTTACTGAAGAATACTACCAGTAATACCACATCCTGTATAAATCTGAATTGTACTGTATAGTTTGTGCTCATAGACACAAAGGTTTTATCGCTTCTTCAGATGTAGTTTAATGCTCACACATCATTCAGAACAGCCTCCTTCTCCCTAATAGTGACAACAGTTTTTAAAGGAATACATTACTTCTGTAAACAAAAAATCATTTAACAATACAATTGTTATACAAGCAATTCCGTAATTTACCTTGACCTTGGTGAGCAAATTATGATCTTTTAAAATCTATCACAAAAAGAATTTCTCTTGCTAGCAACCACGACAACTGTGCCTTTATATTTCTGTACATTGTTTTTGGAATTCTCACTCCTTTAGCCAAATGCATTCATAGAGTGACACATGTAAATGGATGCAAGGCCTGCAGCATTTCTTATTAGTACACTAAGGTGATCAGATGGTTATATTGAAGGCAAGCCCTCCCACTTTGCAGTTAGTGTTAGAAAGTGCTGCCAAGGTCTCGATCATTGTCTGCAAGAATCTGCGATAGAAATAGTTAAAATCCTTGTATGGTTCATCTGGAGGGAATTGTTCTTTTTTTCTCATCAATTCAGGGCAAGTTAACAGCTTTTCTAGATATCCCTCCCCTCTGCCACTGATATTTCATTTGCTCCCATATCACCTGGTTCTCCCACTGGAGCTCCCTTCAAAAGCCCTGTTTAAGGCCCTGGTCAGTGCCTGGTCAGAATCCTTACATTATGATATCGATTGGGTATGGCGGTTAAATGCTCAAGTACCCAGTGCTGCATTGTGGGAGAAGCGTCAAGAATCTCTTACTCAAAGTACTGGGAATCATATGGGGCTTTATCAGGTAAGCACTGGGAAAGTGAAGTATCAGAAGAAGAGGGAGGTGAGTCAACCACAACACCTGTTATAATATATACATTTTGAAAGAGGAGTCAACACCGCAACATATCTTGGTGAACCCCTATTTGTTTATGCCTGCTGAAATTCATTACAAAATCAAAAATGTAAGATGTCTGATGACTGGTTGGTATGAGTTCCTACCCACTGCCCTTTGCATTATACTGTAGTATGGGTAGTCTACAAATAATGTTATATTTTAATAATGGTTATTGGCCAACAGTCACCTTATATCTCTGTGCTCCAACATTGGGATCTATCGAACAGGAAAGCTCAGAAACTCCCACCACATAAACTTCTGGGTTTTATCTGTATTTTATATTATAGCAAAAGTAGCACAAAAAAAATAGACCGTAAGGTTTCATTCCTCTTGCCACCTGCTACATAGGTTCTGCCTCCTAATAAGGGGTCAGAACCTGTGTAATGGCATGTTGGGTAGGTTCACCCTAAAGGAGAATAAATCAATATTTTTTTGTTATCCTATATTTGTCATTATAACTGATAATACATTTAATACTAAAGTTTGATAAATCTAATCTAGGCTTTTAGGTTTTCTTTTTAAAGATCGTCTCTGCAATCTCCTTTCCTCTTAATACCTTGAATCTTCTCTATTTCTTAATGAAGTTCAGATTAGATAAGAGGATGACTTCTTGAAAAAAGAGGGGGAAAAGCTACAGGAATTACAGAAATAACACATGACAAGCAAACATTTGTCTCATATAAATTGTATCTTTTTACAGCCATGGAATTCCACGAGAATCTCAACTCCATCGGGGCTAAAGAAGGTTTGAAAGAGAGGAAGATGATTAAAGCTGTGGAGAGCTTTACATGGAATATAACTATACTAAAGGTAGATATCAGCTTGTAAATGTGCCACATCATTCTTGTACTCACAACTGTATGCCCTGCATCCCTGACTAACCATATGGTCCCGAGCTGTGTTCATTATCTAATGTATTACTACTCTGTTCCATTCCTTCTGGCCTCCTTCATTCTTGTAATCATAAAGAGTTCTGGCAAACCCTAATATTAGAAGTAAATGCTTCTTCAATGCTGTTCAGAGAATACAAAATATTATGTTATTTGAATTGAGTTATCAGTTATTTTTCTCCTGCAAATTGGCTTCTTTTTCTGTGTTTAGTTATGTTAATACATAAGATAACATCACAAGTAACACATTATAAAGCCATTATAAACAAAAGCAAATCAAACGTTCTGAAGGTTCTTGTGCTAGTGTTAAGGCAATCCTCTCCAGTTCTTACTGATTCTGTACAATTTGTCCCTTCTCACTGAATATACCTCTAGCTGCCCCCATTCCTTGATTATATTACTAGCTCACCACCTGGCTTCTCCTTTTCCCAGCAGAAATAGTAGCCAGCAACATGCAAGAAGTAGGATGGTAGACACATTTATTGTGACCCATTCAGAATCAGCATCCTTGTTTATTTACAGTATGCTCCCATACAGAGGGCCATAAGATTTGACCCCCACCAAATTTCATAAGTTCACCCTGCACAGAGCTTTTACACTACTCACCTAATGGGCCTTCTTGTTCTTTCGGGCATCTTTAGACAGGCAGTAGTATGTCCACTTCTGCCCAGTTCACTAAAGGGTGTGGCCACTGAGGGGTGTGGTCACTGAGGGGCGCTGTAAAGCTTTCTCGCACAGGGCGCCTAAAGACCTAAGGCCGGCCCTGCAGCCACCAACGCTTTGTCAGTGATTTAGCTTTGCTTTGTTAAAGCTACACTAATGGATTCTTCATAATTGCACATACAGAATTCCACACAAGCCAATTGAATCTATTCCTCACCATAAAGCCAAGCAAGATGTGTTATGGCTATTGTGTGCAAAGCATAGGTGGGATCATAGAAAGGAGAACTCTCATCAAGCATCCTGGAGATTAGTGGAAGGGAAATCAGGTGATCGAACTGACCGAAGTTCATTCAGAACTAAGAAATTTAATTTTACCTTAGGCTTGAAGTCATGATGACGTTCTCAACATCTTCTAAACAGATTAATTTGATCACATAAAATGATTGAGACTGCCTGACATTTTTCCAGTAGTCGACAGTTAATATGAAGCATGTAAGTGAACCCAGGCTAGGTTCAGCAGTTATTTTCTTATTATATACTGGAGATCAGAGTATTGCTGTTTATAGCTTATAAAACCTACTTACTGGCCGTTCAAACATCCAATCTTCTACTTAGTTGAATGTGGACTTGTTGGGCAATACAACAGATTTTTTTTTAATGCGGTTGAATAGTGAACTTCATCTGATCCTATTGTAGATTGCTGATAAAACTTAAGCTATTTGAAGCATACCAAATAAATGATACGGCAAATACAGAACATACCGATCTGTAAGTTGATATTATCTGTTTTGTGCAATTATGGCTTCTTTTTTCACTAGTAATTTACTTTATTATCTTCCCTTCCCTTCTTTTTTCTTTTCTTTTTTTCTTTTAAAGTGTGTTAACCTCAGCAAATTGTAGCAAGCACAGGTGAATGTAGACTGTTAATGGTCAGGTAGCAAAGTGCTCCAGGGAGTATATTTCCACCTAGATTTATAAGATACGCGAGTTAAAATCCAGATAAATAGATTTAGGTATATGATCTGTTCTGTCTGGAGGCATTATATACAGTTTTCTCACCTCTAGTCTTGGGCAGAGCTATACAGAACATGCTGATATTGTGATGTACTGTATGTGTAAAAATGAATCTAGGAAGAAGGTTTTCCTATGTTCCATACAAACACCATGGGTTTTATTATTGGTGGTTTCTTCTCTGCGCTAAATGGATCCTTCTGCTCATCTCTGTCACTGCTGACAGAGTCACTTTAAACAATTTGCATGGCTATCCACTCATCTGCAGGCAGACACACTATTTGGAGACTGGAGAGAAGAACAACTTTAGGGGATTGGTCTTCATGACCACAACCAGACTGTGGGACCGTGAACTAAGGTAAGTTTTGCTCTGTACTAGATTATCTTCTAGTCCCGTGGTTCTCAACTGGTGGGTTGCAACCCCATCTTCAGTGGTTGCCGTGTGCCTTCCACTGCGTTAGGTGAGAGGCTCCTCCCCCTAGTGCAGCACTGTCCGTTCTCGTGCCGAGCAGCAATGGAAAATATGCTGCCTGGCGCTGAGTGTCAGTTGCATGTGGGGTGGACTAGGGTGACGTCGCATTTGTGTGTCCTGGTGACCTGTTGAGACTATTCTGAGTTTTGCACGGCGCCAACCGTGTGATCACCAGAGCACCACCACCATTGGAAGGTTGCAGTCCGTAAGGAGTGCAGGTGGTTCTTGGAAACATTCTGGTTCCAGGCACCTCTACAGAGAGCAAGGGATCTGTACATATGGATGGAGTGCTGTGCGACTTGCATCACGACTTAATGAGCAAGGACAAATGTGGGTCCTGAGCTTACACAGGTTGAGAACCACTGTTCTAGACCCCTGGTGCTTAGCCTGGCACCTAGTGGCCACATGCTGTCTATTGGCATCTATTTTGCAGACAGGGCTCTGCAAAATATTCCTGTCAAATTGACAGGAGTCAATTTTTTCCTTAAGGTTCTTATTCAGACCAGTGAACGAAAACGACAATTCTTTTAAGACAGGGTTCTTGATGTTATTTCGACAAGGTTCTCAAGGTTGGTTAAATGGCTTGGTTTATTTATTTCACACTGTTACTTTTTCTATGCTGTCTATCATTTTCCTCATTATTTTCCGCTAGTGTTGTATAATGGATCTTGCTGAAAGAGATATAAAATGTGGAACAAGTAATTGTTATGGGGCTAGAGGTAACACAAATGTGAAAGCATTGATTTGTAAAAGGGCTGTAATAGCAGTAATCTTCAGCAGATTCATGATTGAGTTTAATCTGAAGATCTCCTAAAAAAAACTTAATCTGATGACATAAAAATACCTTGCACTGCCTAACATTTTTCTCAAGTAATCAGTAATTAGTATGCAGCATGTAAGTGATCCCAGGCTAGGTTCAGCAGTTTAACCACTTCTTCTTTTCCTATTATATACTTGATGGACATCAGAGTATTGCTGTTTTAAAGGAGAACTATGGGGTGAGTGAATTACACTCATCCCCATAGTTAGAGCCGACGTGTGACATTGTAACTGTCACACTTCGGCTCTATTGATCAAGAAGTGAGCGAAAATAGACTGTTGCTTGCTCACTTCCCGATTATCTCCCTGCAGAGAGCAGTGACTGTCAGTCTCTGCTCCCCACAGGGATGCCCCGCTCCTCTCTCCGATCCCCCAGCACTGACTGGAGGGACGGATGGGAGAGGGGGCGGGCATAGCTGGCTCTGCCTCTAAATTGACAGCTGGTTCTGCCTATTAGCCAGTGGGGTCGTCCTGGCTGCGGTGCTCTCAGCATATAGTGGGCAATAGCCCACTATATACTAAGTTGTGGGTCACGGGATGACACAGTATATGTCCTCCCATGACTCTAAAGAGAACTATGGGAAACAAAAAGGTTACCCCATAGTTCTCTTTTTTTAACCACTTGAAGACCAGGTGAATACACCCCCTTCCTGGCCAGGCCATTTTTCACTATCCAGCGCTACGGTACTTTGACTGACATTTATTCCGTCATGCGATGCTGTACTGAAATTAATTTTATACCATTTTTGGGGACCCATAGAGCTTTCCTTTGGTGGTATTTAATCACTGCTGGGGTTTTAATTTTTTACTATATAATGAAAAAAGAACCGAAAATTTCGAAAAAAAACTGTTCCCTACGTTATGTTAAAAAATGTTTATTCTTACCCATATTTTTGGTAAAACATAAAAGACGGGGTCATGTCGAGTAAATAGACACCAAACATGTCAAGCTTTAAAATTGCGGGCTCCTGCGAAATCGCAATAAAATATTATACCCAAAATTGGCCAAAGGCGACGCTTTAAAAGCTTTTACTGCTAATTAATTTAGTGTTATCAGTGAAAAATGGCCCTAACATTATTGCCCTCTGTCGTTCGCAGTGATATGCAACATATGTGGCGTAATGGGCGCAATCGTTTTCGCATGTATGCGCACCCTACGCATGTTTGCACTCATGTGTATGGGGCTGGGACTTTTAAAAAAAAGTATTTCTTTTTAATTTTTTTACTTTAATTTCTGGGGGGGGGGGACTTTAATTTTTTTTCCACTTAACTTTATTATTATCACATCACAGCACTAAGAAGTCCCCTATGTGATAGCAAAGAGGATGCGACAGGACTTCTTTATGGAGACATCAGGGGACCCCTAATGTCACCTGGGGTCCCCAAACAAACTGATGAAGCAGAGATCTGCTTCACTAGCTTCTCTGGAGGTTCTGTAGCCGGAGAATGACAGCAGAATGGAGAAGTGATTTAATATACATTCTGACAATGGAGAGGAGCTCGGAGGGAGCGCGTGTACTGATCTCCCTCTGATCTCCTGTCACAAAGTTGTTGTGCTGGCCCCAGCCCCTCCCCGGGCACAGCGGAGCCTGGGACCAGCGCTGTGGGGGGGTTTCGGGCATGGGTGCACCGATCGGCATCTCGTACAAGCGATCTATCGGCTCTATAGCCGGCAGATCGCTTGTATGTAAACAGGCATGGCTGCCTGTTTTTAAATTTTGACAGTTTCCTGCTTGCGTGCCGTGCGGCACGCACAAGTGGGCGGGGTTAACAGGCTGTCTTTAGATGGCCTGTTACATTCAGGAAGCTTCTGGCCGGCTGTTTAATTACAACGGCCGGCCGGGAAGCAGTTAAGCTTGTAAAACCTGCTTTTTGGCGGTTCAAAGATTCAATCCTATACTTAACTTAATATGGACTTCTATGGCAATTTAACAGGGTTTTTTATTTTTTATTTA